ACTTTCCGGTACTTTACGCCACATATTTATGGTAAAAATGATCATGTAATGTTTTACTAGGGGGAAGGGGTACAGAAAAACATTACGGTGCGTTACATGAGAGAGAGGGTGAGGTACAGAAAAAAGTTACGGGGCGTTACATGAGAGAGGGGGTGGAGTACAGAAAAACGTTACGGTACGTTACATAAGAGAGGAGGGGTGTCCAATTTATTTTTCGTTTTAACTAATAATAATTTCATTACACATTACCATTACCTTACATTACTTTGATGGCTGGAAGTCTTCCACAGTCTGCTTCACAAGACACTTTGATTTCCGAACTAGCGAACTGTAGAATCGACACCCGGTGAGGGGTTTCCCTGGGAAATACGACCTCCAATTGTTTAAATAAAGAGTATACTCCTCCCTCAAAGGCCCGCAATGCACCCACTAAAATGGATGTCCATGGGCTGCGATAATAGTCAATTTTGGGCGTCCCCCTCGTTTGCTCCCTTACAATATAAAAAAAGTTGGTTTTACTTCAAAAATTCTATTTTTTTTTTTTAAATCCAGGCTTATTAAAAATAGCCGCTATTTATTTCCAAGTATATAACAACAATCAAGCCATACATTAAGGCAGGTCGTATCTGTATATGATATCCCCATTACATTACGTAGTCATGAATGAATTATCATAATTAGTAAAACAGTATTGGTTGGTAATACTTAAATATTTACCTTATAGTTGATTGGTTAGAGCTAACAAACATTGATTTAGTATTGCCGTGCTATGTATTGAGGTTATGGCCAATTACTTATAAGACGGGTCGCATACGAGGTTTTAAGTTCGAATCTCTAAGTATAAGTTTCAGTTAAAATTTGCATAGATATAAATCGGTGACATACTTCGATTGTTATATGTTTTCCATCTATAACTATTTTAATAGCAAAAGATAATTGTATATAAGTTATTTTATTCCAACATACAAATATACAGTATTTACAGTCTCCTTGAGCTATATAGTAATAATAATAATAATTGCTAAATAGAAAATTAAAACAAAAACAAAATCAAAATTAAAAATTTGTTCCCTGTGTACCTTTAACGTTGGCAGCATTTCCTAGCTGTATTGCGACACATCCGGCACTTCACCAGATCTGGGATCACCGGTACTATCTACCAAGCGCCAACTTTAATTAATGGCCCAAGAGGCCATGGGGTTCAAGTGCACAGGCGTCTCTACTCCAGGGAACCAAATCTATGTTGAAAACTATTATATACTGTATATATTAAGTATATTAGTTTTAGGTGACCACAATCCATAGAAATATTACACACACACACACACATCATCATGGTACACATCGGTTTCCTCAAGATCATCTCATCTCTGTACGAGAAAGTTTATTTGCGTTTAGAAAGAAAACTCCCTTATACAATTCCTTTGAATAAGCTAACATTTCTTGGTCAGCATTTTCTTCATCAAAGAGACATTTCTACATCACAAAATTTGAAACAAGCTTTTGGAGGGGACTTTTTCCCAGACAGATGCGGTTTTGAACCGAGGCCACCTTCGGAAGACGTGTATAAGCACAAAAAAGTTACGGAAGCTCACTAGTTAACAAGTTTCGAAATAAACCCCTAAATCTATTTCGGAACGTAATTAAATCACCCTTCGGATAATTGGTTCAGAATTCCGGAAGAGCATGTGCACACAGCTTGGGGTATCAGTTTCAATAATTACTGTTTACCCCACACCAATTATCACTTTAATTTAAACGAAAAATACTATTTCCAAATTGTGATTACCTTATCACTAACCAGCCATAATTATTTAATATGTTGTCTACAGTTTGTATTGTTGTACAATTTAAATAGCTATATACAAGTATACATCGCACACATAATATACAGTGTGTTTTTACAGATTAATTTATCTTATTTATTGCAAGTGTGTTTTCGTATATCAACTTAAATATTTTTTTATAATTTTCTTTCATTCATAGTACTGCAACAAAATATTTAATATCATAACCATATTTAGCTATTTTGCGAAATTAAAACGAAGGCTGTAAACATTTCTATAACGTTTACGAGACGTAGCAATTACGAGTCGTATTCTACACACGGGTGTGTATTAAAATCATGAACTAATAACATTATGATGAATTAAGCGGGCGACGTGTAAAATAAATTGTTTGGTTAACGAAAAGCCACTGGTCATATCAATCAAAGCCTCAAATTATAATTTTTTACCTTTTTGGTTCTGAGAAGGTCTACCTGCTATCAAGTATCACCTTTGATTATAACATAAAAACCTCGTTATAATAGGGTTGTCTATACACTTTTTATTAGTTCTCGCTAATAATATGGTTAGGTAACAACCAATTCGGCCATTCGTGTTTCATATTATTGTCTATGAAGAGCTGTCAAGTATTTTCTTTATATGAAAATTATTAGTAAATGTGTTTTAGGAATAGAAATATAATACTACTGATAATTAATTTTAATTAAATTTTAAATATCGCTCAGTAATTTCTTTTTATTTTTAAAATTACAACACAGTGACATATTTTGCTGAGATTTTATTTATTTATTTTATAAGTACATCATACCTATATAATACATTAAGTACCGATTAATTGTTATAAAATATATAGCAATAACAGTAAACATAAAATTTGGAAAGAATATAAACTTTTACAAAAAGAGAAGACAAATGTATAAAATATATATAATAGTAAATATCTTAAACATAAAAAGTCAAAATTTATGAGGAGTTAAAAAAACCGCTTATGTTTCTCCAAAGCCTCATTCACACTGACACGCTCTAACCGTTTGAGTCAAAACCAACGAGTAATTTGATATATAATCTGTGTTAAACATGTGGCAACCCTGAATGTGGCTAAAACAACGCAGACTAATCAGTTTTATGACATTTGATGTTTTAATGCTATTTGGTAGCAATTTAATTTTACGCCAACATTTTGGAAAACTTAAATGAACTGGCAATATTATTTTACGAGTTGTAATTGCGGGTTTTCACAAGTTTTAACTCTGGACGGATTAAGTTAGTGCTCTGTGCATTTTTGGTTTTCTAAGTAACGCCATTTTGTGGCAATTATGCCAACGCGATAAATAACATAGGAACAAAAATTGATTAAAATTAAATAAATCAGTTGCGCTACAACCTTTTTAGGTCTGGGCCTCAGATTTCTGTATCTGTTTCATGATCAATTGTCAATCTAATAGGCAAGTAGGTGATCAGCCTCCTGTGCCTGACACACGCCAACTTTTTGGGTCTAAGGCAAGCCGGTTTCTCACGATATTTTCCTTCACTGTTCGATGTTGTAATGTTAAATGCGCACATAGAAAGTCATTTGATGCACTGCCGGGGATCGAACCTACAACCTCAGGAATGAGAGTCGCACGCTGTTGCGTTGACAATGCATTAAAAAAAGTGATTAAATAATACATATGTGAAAAAATTCATTTATACATATTTTCACATATCTTTAAACGTTTCAAATAATATTATACGTTGAATTATATAGAACATTAAATCATTGATCATGCCGCCTAACCTAATTAAAATATCAGGTCGCCATAGACAATTTTACGCCCGATCGGAGACGATAACACATTCGAATAAAAAGCGACTCAATCGAATTAATATTCGACTATTCGAATAGAATTCCCTAAGACGGCATTCGTAAGTTTTTATTGATTCTCACGGAATGAAGACGTACGCGGCACGACAAAAGAGACCACACTATACGCGATTTTCGGAATCGCGATTTCTTGAGTGTCCCCTAAATTGGTGGTCTCTCACGCCTACACGCCATTATTTGGAAACTTAATCAAGACGTTTAAATCTTTCGTTGTATGGTATAATGATATAGGGTTTTAACACTGGACTACAAACTCTTGCAGTCCAAAGTCTAGTTTTATAAATTTGTAAGGCTTTTGGACTGATTTGACTTTAATTTTGTTATTTATAATAAAGTTCAATAACACTCAGTAGATAGTAACGCTCCGTCATAGATAATAAGTCATAATCGGAGACTTAACATGTAGTTACACATTACACTCACTCATTCACTCACTCACTCACACACTCACTCACATAAAGGGTTCCCAAATCTTTTTTATAATGAATTGTTTATACTGAATGAAACCTTTCCTATGTACCATAAAATAAATATAAAAGCGTAAATTACAACTCCTAAAAAGCACCGTCAAAGTTTCGCCCAAAACCAGTCAGTTAAATATTTTCTCATTTCTGCCATGTTCAAACATATAATTGTTAACTGCCATCACGTACTGTTGATTAATAACTAAATAATCACTTTGCAGTAATCGTTTTTGTAAGCAAATATATATCTTGTTAGCGTTTTTATATTAGTTTAAGACAATAATTATTTGTATTTTTAATTTATTAAACATTTATATTATTGACGTCCAATTAGTGTGACGTTAGTCGTAAGTGGTAAATGGATAATTTTTTACACAAGAACGTAGTGTTTCTTAATAGAGACTGTAAGTTATGTTATTGGACACTTTCTTATGTTAAATATTAAAGTAAAGTAAACTAGGTTAGTTATTAGTCTTGAGTAAGGCTAGATCGTAATGTTAAATGTTGCCTGTGCAGAGACAATTTAAAAAAAAACCTCTATGTGTACTTATGTAAACGCGTTAGAAGTTATACTTAGTTATACTTCTTTGCCGTAACAAGATAAAAATATTTCTACATAATTAATGCAATGAACATTTTTTATTTTAAAATGTTTACTATGTTAACTTCAGAGTCTCGGTATTTTTTATGACGTTGTGCGGGTGTCGGTTTTTTTGTGACGGTGTGCGGGTGTCGGTGTTTTGTGACGGTGTGCGCGCGCATCGTACAAATTTACTCTCATCATTTTTCCCTGACGCGCCAAAATAAGTATAACTTCAAAAATACGCCCAAATTCCCACTGCCCTGTTTTACAAACATAAGTTTGTTTTTAAAGCAGTTTTTGTCATGCACTACAATGTGGAACCAGCTACTCATCTAGGTATTTAACCAAGATATGTAATATCTAAATAAATACCGTTTGACTTTTGTTCTATAAAAAATATACAAGTTCTATTACTAAAAATCAACAACAATATTCAACAAAGAAGTCGAATTAAAACCATAATATTCTATTCTAGTTGCCATGTTCGATGTACGAAAATAACTAGTAATATTTTAGTCAACAATTTTAAGTCAAACTATTAAAAATACTACATAAATTTAATCTAAGATTTTAATACAAATAGCTTATGGCGGCTTTTTTCACAAAGATCTAGATCGACGGATACCAATACGATAAAATAAGAATAAATCAGTGTTAATGCGATGTTGTTGCGTGAACTAGTTCCATTTCTAAAAAAATTAAGTTATTAATCTTTTACGCCATTTTATATTCGAGTTGACATATTAATATGTCTCGATTCGTCATGGCGGCGATTAGCTCCTAACGAGCTGTGACCTCAGACGTGGTTATTTAAAATTGTAATAAATTACTGTTTTTTAAATTATATTTAAATACAATTACGATAATAAGATTATATCTGGAAAATATATATATTAGATATCATTTGGACTTAAATTGATGAATTGAAATTGCAATAATTATGCAAATAAATTTCAGCTATTTATGTATTAAATGTAGTAGGAATTTCCTTCTCTCACTGAATTACTTTTCAGGACTCGAGTACTTGAGTGCTGCTAGGAGTCTTCATCCAGAACTACATGCGGGTAGTACACTTGCGAGTCAAGACTTTCAATTGGGTTTAGAAGGTAATTCTTCTTTATACATTTTCTTTAAAAAACACCTCTACTTTGATACTACTAGCAGTACATATAACCTTCCAGGAGGTTCTAAAGTCGGTTCTCGGTGAAACATTGATTATATTAAATAGATGCGTGGCGAAAAATAAAATCAAGGAATTGAATGGAAAAAGGAAGAAAGCTGTACCACATTCAAATGCATTTGACGCTGGACGCAGTATTTAATACCAATATTATTAATACTGTATCATTTCAGGTTCTAGATTAGCATCACCAAATCGTCTGCGACTCTCTGGCGGAGCGATAAGTGCATCAGCTAATAGAAAACGAGCTGTTTCCTGGAGCCCCTACTCCGCGGAGTCATTGGATCTGGCTGCCGTCATCAGGGCGTCTCCGGCTAGCTTAGCTGTGCGGGCACCTTCTGCTGCCTCTACGGGGAGTTATGGACATCTTAGTGCTGGTTAGTTTTGCTCTGATATTATTTGCACTATGTTGAAATATGACGCCCATATTAGAATTTATTTTCATTATTAAGTACCTAGTTCATATTAACTCCAACATTCTTATGTAATCTTGTGCTTATGGATTATTATGTTCTTCGCTGTTGGTATTCAAAAGCATAAGGAAATATTTTGTTTTTCTAATAAAACGAGCAGGAGGCTCATCTGATGTTAAGTGATACCGCCCATGAACACTCACATTGCCAGAAAGCTCGCAAGTGCGTTGCCGGCCTTTTATGAATTGGTACGCTCTTTTCTTGAAGGATTCTCTATAATGTATGTAGTCGCATGTCGCAGTGCTCAATACAACAAGAGGTCTTGTCATCTGAAGATGTCTTCTATAATTTTTTATCAGGTGCAATATCACCGGCTCTATCACTCTCCCACGCATCGCTAGCGCAACAAATTCTGGCTCGCGGAGGTAGTGGGGTGCTGCCTGCTGGTGTGCTGTTAGACCCCGCACACCAGCAGGCGGCGGCTGCCGCTGCGCATCATGCTGCTCATGCGCACCTCGTTGCTGGTATCCATAGGTAAGAACTATACATTTTTAATTGACCATGTTTATGATTCCCTGATTGTAAATATATACATTAATATGGAGAAGTGTTAGCCTAGTGGCTTCAGCGTGCGACTCTCATCCCTGAGGTCGTAGGTTCGATCACCGGCTGTGCACCAATGGACTTTCTTTCTATGTGCGCATTTAATATTAGCTCGAACGGTGAAGTAAAACATCGTGAGGAAACCGGCTTGCCTTAGACCCGAAAAGTCGCCGCCGTGTGTCAGGGCCAGTAGTGATACACCTATTTGCCTTACCTTACCTTGCCAGACATGCAAGTATTATTTTCTAAACAGTTATTATATTTATGTAACATCGGCTTACAGATCTCACATATCGTCACCAACCCAGTTACTGATAGGTGCTCCAGTGGATGTCGGGCAAGGTTTGAGGTTAGATGGAACACCACCACAGCACATGCAGCAGCCTCCACAACAACAGGAAATCACTAGTGTTATGGAAGCTGATAGGTAATTAAATATTTTAGTTAATATACTAAGGAATAACATTTCGTAAGACCTCAAAACATCTTTTTTAATATTTAATTCTACGTAATGTATGGCAAAGGGCGAGACACTTGGACCGTGGGATTCAAATGCACAGGCGTTAATTAATGATTTAAGTTGGCGCCTTTTCTTAACGAATAAGTATCGCTTTATAGCGAGTTAATACCAGCATGAAAGCTACACTGCCTTAGGGACTCAACTTTTTAAATTTATTTTAGTTTAGTATGTATAAATTTTTTAATAATTTTATTACAATAATGTACGTAATTACACTACAATATACATTGTACATTTGTCTATGTGCATATTTTTTACATTCATTTGGCGTCTGATTCATAAACTATCTTAAGAAGATCATAGTGAATGTTTTGTCAAGAGACGAAAGTCGACTAGGATAATTGAACAGTAAACTTTTCAAAGCATTTTAAGACTAAAAAACCCTATAAAAAAGCTACCCATAGAAAAATATTAAACTTACATCTTTTTTTTTAGTTCACATTTGCATTACAGTGCCTCAACAGCGATGAACCAACGCAAGTCACCCCAAAGTATAATGTCCCGAGATATGCATTGTAAACCTCTCTCAGCCGCTGCAGAGAGCACAGTGCACGATGGCATCGACTGTAAAGATGAGCCAGGGGACTTCATTGAGACGAATTGCCACTGGGTAAGTCTATTATCATCGTTTTTTAAAGTAGCAACCAGTAGCAGCAATAAATAATTTGTATTTCGAACTCGAAGTCTCAGGGTATTTTTCATGTGTTAACGGCTAAGATACGAGCTGGATATTATATTATTTAGTATAGACATTTATGTTGGTGACATATATATTTGGTGACCAGCCTTTAAAGCATGTCGCCAGTCGTAACTATATTATATTATGTATCTGCTCTATAGCAGTGTTGGCCTAGAGGCTTCGGCGAGCGACTATCATCCCTGGGATCGTAGATTGGATCTCCAGCTTTGGCCTTTCTGTCTATGTGCGCGTTTTACTCGCTAGTACGGTGAAGGAAAACATCGTTAGGAAACCACTATGCATTAGACCTAAAAAGCCAACGTTCTGCGTGTGGCACATTACGTAGATCTCTTGTTTGCCTATTAGAAATGATCACGAAACAAATGCAGAAATCTGCCATTCCTAAAAGGTTGTATTGGTATATAGGGATTATAATGCATTAAAATTTATTCAAAGTCAAAGTCAGAATAACTTTATATAAGTTAATAAGTACACTTATGAACGTCAGAAAAGAAGTTAAATTAATTCTAAACTTACATTATATTCACATAAATATTAAAAATACATGGCTATTACAGGTCGATTGTAAACTGGAGTTTCCGACACAAGATGACCTCGTGAAACACATAAACACAGACCACATTCATGCAAGCAAAAAGGCGTTCGTGTGCCGATGGGTTGGCTGTTCGAGAGACGAAAAGCCGTTCAAAGCTCAATATATGCTGGTGGTGCATATGCGAAGGCATACGGGTGAAAAACCGCATAAATGCACGGTAAGTGGTTAGCTAGAATTTCTTTTTCTTTACGAATAACAAGAGAAAAATATTATTCATTTTATTTATTTATTAAAGTTCACCACATTACAAAATGCTTTATCTGTGATAAATGCTAAATGAAAAATTAAAATACTCTAGTATTTATTGCTTATTGTTAAGCAAAAGAATTCTAAAGCAAATCAGCGAATTATATACACTACTGAACATGTCTACTATTGTCAATTTTTTTTTCATATAAAAATAATTGTTTTTTTTGTGGTTTTGAGCAATATTTTCCCGTCTCGATATGACTAAAAGGAAATTATTGAAAGGTATTATGGTCTCAACTAAAAATAATATTGTTTTTCCAGTTCGAAGGATGTTGTAAAGCGTACTCCCGTTTGGAAAATCTAAAAACTCACCTCCGGAGTCACACAGGTGAAAAACCGTACACCTGCGAATATCCCGGGTGTGCGAAAGCATTTTCAAATGCTAGCGATAGGGCTAAACATCAGAACAGAACACACAGCAACGAGGTAAGTTTAAAAAGATTTTATTTCATGAGAATTGAAAAGATCACTAAAAGAAGATTTCCTGAACAATTTCCTATTATTAAATTTATAATCCGTATTAATGCTAACATTGCTTTAATTAGAAGTAAAATTTATCCAAAAGTTCAACCAGTTGGACATTTCTTGTATAAGCTAGCTTGTAAATATGTTAATCTCGAGTTAAGATCAATGGCGGTTGTATGGATGTTCAAATAAATTAAACAGCATTGTCGAAACCATGTCAACTATCTTTAATCGTTTAAAACAAGGGCTTATAAAATTAGGCGTAGTGGGGTTGCGAAGCTGGACTAAAACTGACACATCTGTTTCTTATAAAGAATATTTTACAATTAAAGAATGTATGAAAAATCAATGGCGTCATTTATTACTACCAAAACTGACTTTAAAATTTTTGTGTAAGATTGTTAACATTTCGATTGCGCTTTTTATTATTAACTAAAATATCTTTATTAGTAACCCAACTAATGTTAGGTTATATAACTCCAGTTAAAATCGTTTATAGTATGTATATGATTTCCAATTATTTCTTTCAGAAACCATATGTATGCAAGGCCCCAGGCTGTACCAAAAGATACACGGACCCATCCTCTCTTCGGAAACATGTTAAGACAGTTCATGGAGCTGAATTTTACGCCAGTAAGAAACATAAAGGTCAGTTTGTCAGTCAGTTAAACACAAACTTAAAAGGTCCGAATCAAAGTTTGATAGGATTGCAAAGATTAAAAACTGTAAGATATTTATTGAATGTTTGGTCTTCAGCATTCATAAATTAATCAAGTTTATAATTAATTAGTATTTTGTAATGATTTGTTTTTATCGTAAATTTAGTGGATACTTTTACACTTGCAATACTGGAGTAAATTAATTTTTACCGATTTCAATTGAACTCCTTGGTGTAAAAATGAAAACTGAAATGAATTGAAAATTATAATTTCAGGATGCAGTCGTGGTGATGATTCAGCAGAATCCGGTGGTGGAGGAGCTGGGTCCTCACCGCGTTCGGAGGAAGGTGGAGTACCCATTGGTATACGAGGTCATACTTCGTCAGCCTCTGTCAAGAGTGAAAGCCCCGCATCCCCTCTACCTCATGGAATGCATAATGGTCATCAGGTGAGATGAATAAAGATTTATAATATAAATAATATAATATTTTTATTAAAAAATATATTAAAAAATTTTTTTAAATTAACTATTGAATCCTATTTCACTATTACTTTAATTTTTAGTTAATATCAAACACTATCGTTACATCGCCAACTAAAACTTCAGTACCTAGTTATAATAATAATCAAAATCAAATTTTATATATATAGGTAACACAATGTACACTTACGAAGGTCAAAAAAGAAATATACATTAAATGCTTCTAATTTTACATTTACTGCCAATTTTCAAATCAAGGGCGTAGAACGGAAGAGAAGAACTGGCAATAAACTCTCTGCCACCCTTTTTTTTTGTTTTACATCGAGAAGACCATTACCCATGTTAATTATATAAATAATAGCCGTAGCTCCTCTATTCATTACGAAAAGTCTGATTACAACGTCTATTACCCAAAACTCTGATGTCATATCATTAAAAAAAATTTGGCGGATTAAAATCTATGCAAATTTTTTCATAGGAAAATATTAATTATTAATATAGTATACTTCTACTATTTTATTATTAACATCTTTTCAATATTATTTTCAGTTGTCTGCTCAATGTGGTGGGGACTTGGACTACGGTGGTTCTGGTCTGGGTGGTTTCAGCGACGAACATGGTGTCCCCTACTTCAGGATAGATGGAGAGGTAAAAATACTTTTTAGTATGTTTTTTTTATTTTACGGTTCTGGTTCAGAGCTATTGATTCTTTGAATATAGAATTTTTGAGAAATTACTATATTTTCCAGTCGCCTGCTGAAACCATTAGTGCTTTTACACTAAATGTTAAAAAGCATTAAAATAAGAAACGGCTCAAATATAAGTGTCTTTCCTTCGATTTTGTTCACTTTGGAGTAGAGACTCTTGGGCCGTAGTTCAAGTGCACAGGCGCAGGCACAGGCTAATTAAAGATTTAAGTTGGCGCCTGGTAGATAGTACCGGTGACCCCAAAGTGTTTTCCTCACTCAACAATTAAGTATCGCAAATAAGTGAGATAATGCTGACAGCGTTAAATATATTTAAACTAAACTATAAACTCGTAAGTAGTCGAAATCTGTATAAGACTAAGATAAGCTGAGGTTTTCATTTTTCTTTTAGGTTGAACAAGAGGTAGTAGGTGAAGTTGGTCAACTTCCGCTGATGTTACGAGCCATGGTGGCAATCGGAGAACCGAGAGCTCATCACCACGCTCCTCGACTGGGCCACAAGATGGGTCTTGGAAGGCTGATGCCATTACATGCTCCAGATATTGGAGGTAAGAAAATGGCATTTATTATATTTGTAATTGGCAAGAGGCGTTAGATGTGCAGACTTCCTTTTTTTAGAATTTTTAGATTGGAAGTTTTAAGTAAATTTAACATACTAAAATCTTGTAAAGTTGTGTCAATAATATGCGTATAAACGATAAATCAAAAACAAGAAAATTACCTATAAACAATAAAGGAAAATTCATTTGATCTATTCAACAATAATAAATAGATACATACTTTATTAATTATCATCTTAAATTTGCATTATAGTTCGTTATTGCTAGCAAACGGTAAATTTGTAAGGAAAACAATATTTCCATAATTCATAGTTTATGAATCCATTTTTGCAGGTGGACCTATGCCCGGTAGAACAGAAATTGGAGGGCACCAATGTGGCTGTTGAATTAAAGACGGGTCCTCCAAACGCGAGACGAGACTCCGGCATTTCTTCTGGAAGTAGCCTGTACAGTGCCAGGTAAAAACTGATTCTTTAAGATATTTCTCTATATTACTAATGTACTCGGAGGCAGTTTCTTGCATAATCACTTTCATAATATTCTCAGATCGTCTGACATATCCCGCAAGAGCAGCCAGGCGTCTGTGGTGGGCGGTGTGACGTCTCACGTGACCCAGCGGTTACTGTCGCAACCAGCTGTTTATGACCAGTTATCACCGGACAGTAGTCGAAGGTAATTAGGACGCTGTCCAAAATTTTGCCTTCGAAACGACAAAGTCAAAACGTTACTTTCAGACAATAAATCTTTTGTTTGTCGGGTCTTATTTACCTAAACTGTTACCTTAAATCGAGTTTAAATATGTACTAAATGCTAAGCTGCGTCACTTCCCATAGATAAGAATTCATTTATTTCTTCAAGATAATTTCAGTTGTCCTTTGTAATCTATTGATATACTTAATCGACTTATGTTTTCTGTTTCGTTTATTTTGTTTAACTGATAATAATCAATAATAATCTGTTTTCGATTTTTATATTGTCTAAGTGTAGCTGTTAGATTACTTATAAATAAACTTTCGAAAATAAATTAGAACTCGCTTGTTTCAGATCTAGTCAGGTGTCATGTGTGGGCTACGCTCCACCTCCATCATCAGCCCTTGCTGCTGTCCAGGCCGTCAGAACTTCTCAAGGCAATCAGGTAAGACATTGAATCCTCCTCACAACACTTGATGAGGGATAGCTATATCTTAATATTTATGGAACGTTCATTTAAATCAAATATTGAAGTACTTAAGAGAAATTCTAAATGATAAATTTTGACGTATATTGTATATTATGTTTATTATTCGGCTCCATTAGTTCTTGCTTATTAATGCTTGTTTATTTTTACAGGCCGTACTGTTACGAGGAGTGACCTGCACAGAAGTAAGAGCTGAAGAACTGTCACTTGAGCTGGATCCTAACATTCAGGTCAAGGAGGAAGCCAGGAGACTGTCAGAGCAATCGAATCTGAGTGACCAGCAGTATCAGCCATATCCTTGCAATACTGATGTAAGTGCAAACAGAGTTTCATCCTATAGAAATAATAAATGCTAAAGTATTCATGAATGCTGCCTGTATTTAAACTTTTGACCGTTATCAGAAAAGTAAAAAATTCGATTATTTACAGGCCGACCCGAATTTCCAATTCAAGACCGAAGATGACCACGATGCAAACACGTACAAGGAATCACGGTCAAATTCAACCGCTACAGTCGTTATAACTACTGCACAGGTTCACCATCCAAACCAAGAAGTCAACTTGGAACAGGTAATATTTCTAATTATACAATTATTATTATACTTGACTAGCCTTACCATTGATGTATTTGGTGTAGGAATAGAAAACTTTTATGAAGAGTAAACAGCCGTGGTCAATTACAAAGATTTTTATTAATTAATAATTGTTTTTAGGTCGCAGAAGGAGAAATGGTGGAGAATAAGCTGGTGATACCAGATGAAATGATGCAATATCTTAACCAATCCATATTGGGCACCGACACGGTTAAGCCAGCCACCGACTCCACCAAACAAGAACCAGACACAGAAACTGATAAAAAAGTAACCAAAGAGAATATAACTAGTGAAGTTCCAAACACAAACAATTCCAGTGACAAAATAAGTGACGTTGCAACTAGTGACGATTCTCTACTCAAAAATCTAGGTGCCATAGGTAGTGATCTCAATATAAGTGATATTCAAGTCGATTTAAGGTCATTAGATGTTAGTATGTCCGGCAATAGTGGCTCTCTCTTGGCGAAGTCGCCCGACGATAAGAATCCTCCTCTACAAGAACAAGTTATTCCAGAAGTCCCGAACGAGAATTGCGAGAAAGAGTTTAATAGAGTGCCCGTAAATCAACCAGCAACAAGTAATCCTCTACAATCGTTGCAATCGATGACAGCGAATCAAACTGAACAATCTAATAGGATGAGGTTGAATAACCCAGTGGCACAAAAACAAAATACAAACGTCAAAACGAATTTACAAACCACTATGACTATGCCACATGGAATGCTAAGCCCACAAAGCTTACCACACAGCGCCATGAGCCCTCAAAGTGTAATGAGCCCCCACAATATGACAAACCTCATGAGTCCCCCCAGTGTTTACAATGTGATGAGTCCCCAAAGCGTGATGAGTGTCATGTCACCACAACACAACGCCATGAGCCCTCAGTCCATGCAGAGTCTACTGAGTCCACGGCATAACAATATCGGAAGCCCCATGTCACAAAACCTTAACAGCCCAATGATGAACATGGCGAGCCCTATGCCTCAAAACATTGCAAGCCCAATGAGCCACGGTATGCCCAGCCCCATGCATCCAGGTCTACAAAGTCCGATAACCAGTCCCCATGATTCAGAACATGACAAATATGACAATGAATATGCCGTCACCTCAAAACCAGAACCAAAACATTATGATGATGAACGGTAACATGGCTGCTTCCCAAATGGCGCAATACAACAACAGACAAAACTGTAAAATGCCAAATAAGAATTTTAACGTCCCTAAACAATACCCGAACCAAAGCTACAACCAGCATTCAATGCAAAACCAATCCATGCCTCAGCAGAATATGGCTCAATATCCAGTAATGCAGCAATTCAATCAAAACATGCAGATGCAGGGCCCACAGCCCCAAATGCCTTATATGGCAAATTATCCCCAGAACTATATGAACCAAAGCGGTCAAATGCATCCCATGCAAATGTCCCGATCTTCAGTTATGAGTGTCGATAACAGTGGTAATATGCCTCGTGGAACCATAAACAGTTACTATGAAAACCAATGCCCTCAAAACCTGCAACATACACAAAACGTACAGTACCACCAACCTCCTTATAATACAGCACCAAACCTCATGGGACCTCCACCACCTAAAAACAACCAGTTTAACAACCAATATTACAACCGGCAATTGAACCAGTGGGAATACGCTAATCAGTACAATAAAATGAAATCAGCACAGAACTCCGTAAACATGTCAACGGGTAGTCAGAAACCTGTAAACAGTATGCCTCCGATCAACCAGGCCCTCAAAAACGGAGACACAGATTGTAGCATGAACAGTTTACGAAGTCAAAATCAGCCAAGCGACGTTCAAGTGTGGGATATATCTCAATCCCAAATTGATGCATCAAATAATAGAAAGAAACAGAATAGCATGCGGCAAGACACCTATCAGAGAACTTTGGAGTACGTGGAGAATTGTGAAAATTGGAAGAGTTCAGAAATGGTATCCAGCAGCACTCATCCCCTACAAGGTGGTGATAATATGGTTGTTAATGATTTGCAGACGTCCTTATCTTCATTTTACGAAGAGAACCAATATCTCCAAATGATTCAGTAACTTTGTGTTGTGTTAAAAAGGTTGATTTCAAATGCCAAATACGCTCATATTTGTACGTAATCAATATTTAAATGCGTTTTTATACAACTGAATATCAAAATTTAATTAAATTGTTGAAAATTATGTCTAATACCATTCAATAAAAATCAGTTTCCATTTCAAATCGCGAAGAAATCGGCATATCTTAGACCTAATAATTGACGACGTGTGTCAGGCACAGGAAGAATTACTTGCCTATTAAGAAAAAATTAAATGCCGAAATCTGAGACATCCATTTTGGGGTTGTAGCACCGATGGACTTATATTATTATTAAAAATCGCTTTCCATTTTAAGTTCTTGTCTTAAGGTGCATTTGACGTTGTTAATATTATATAGACTGATTAATTATTTTTAGAATAAGATAAATAGACATAATGTAAAAGACACGCACAGGTTGTATATAATGTAAAATTTTATGTCTTCCATTTAAGTACATATAATGTAGTTGTATATAGGCGCTGTAACGAATTATGTAATGTATTCCGAGATAAATTTTAAGATTCAAATTAATTTCGTTGGAAGAATTTTTGTAGAATAACATTAAACTTGCGAAATAAAAAAAAAAAGTAGTTTACGTATTCCAAATACTTTTAATTGGTATTTATTTTAACAATAACTCTCAAGTGCCTTACTATACACCTTGTTGTGAGAAACATGGACTATTTACAAAAATAAATTCACTTAAACTTTGTATAAATACTTCAGGGCAGTTGTGTATCACGAATAAAGCTTATGAAATATGTTAAAAGTTTGTCATAAAAGCCTCCGACTGTCTCTTGATATATTAATTATTATTAATAATAATTTACCTACTAATTGAATAAAGATTCACTGGTTATCTTTATCAGACGATCTATCAGATCTATGTTATATGTGATAGACCATTAATATCTTGGAATACAATCCCAGTGCCTCTATTAATGAAGTGCCTTCGAGATTATGTACAATATTTGCATTATTAGTTTTGTAAGATTAATATTAAAGAATCTCCTAGGTTAGTTTTTATGAGATTACTAGATTTAAATGTAGGTGCTAGTGACGCACAAATGTAGAATTATGGTGTATTTTGTAATAAATTATTGTTACTGTTTGTACAAACATTTGACATTAAACAATATTTTAATAAAATAAAGATATTTCGGTATTTGATTTTTCATTTTATTCAAGCTAAGCATCCATATTATAAAGATCCGTCACCTACCAAAGGGAATCGGGGCAGACACATTTCTGTCTCTAAGAGTCTTCTGTGCCTGACATACATTGTAGATTTTTGTGTGCCGACTTTTCCCTTTTTTTTTGTTCATAGCAAGTATTGTTTTCGTATATAGACGGAATAATCCACTGTTGCAAGACCTTGATGCGATCTCACTACCTCAGGCTTGAGCCTGCGTAGTGCGTAATCTACTAGGCTATCACTGCTCACACACTCCTTACGCAGTATAATATGTAGAATGTACCCTAATCACCATAGTAACTGCCTCATGGTGAATGGTTGGCTTATTGAAATGAAATCTCGGGTTCAACGGTGCAGTTGTGAATTAATAAAACACCATTGCGTTTTGTTTCTAAAACATAGACCGGAATATCTAGATAAGGTGGTATAGCACAATCACCCTATCTAGATATTCCGGTCGAATTATCCCATTGGGATATGGGAGTGTACACTGTAATATCCGCTATTAATCAACAGTCTAAAAAGGGATTAGCTAAGAAATCAAATATTACATAAACTAACGATTTACAGACGACATCTATTGTTAACATATAAAATAAAAAATAATTTATTGGTGAGTAGGCAATTTTTTTTGATAGTTCGGTTACCAAATGCTTCCTTACGTCAAAAGCGTATAAAATCTTGACATACAGGAGACATAGTTGTATGAGTAAAGCGTGAAATAGCTTTTATTCACGGAACCAACCACCGGATCTCGGGCGTACTTCGCCAGTTTTTATTATTCATTTTATTGGGAGTCTGCTGGCAACATTCAAAAATAGACGCGTCTATTTTAACATAACGGCTGACGTAACAGCGTGGAATGTGCGCACCAATATTCTGTCTACGATATTCTTTCAAGAAAATTATTGAAAACTTTCACCGACCAAACCAACCACGCAACAGCTGATGAATTTAATTTCTAATTTATTCTAATGGTTGTAGCCATCAGCGCCAAGTTTTGTTTGAATCTAAAAATAAGATTAAAGGACTGGCTTATGAACACACCTTACGCAGTGTTCTTCTGAGACCTAATATTTAGTTACATATTTCACTCAGTCACTCACTCACATGCACCCACACACTTACTCATTCACTAACATGCACCCACACACTCGTATGCACTCACAACAAAGGGGGGGGGGGGGGGGGGGGGGGGGGGGGCCCCCCCCCGGGAGGAAGTTAGGTGGACCACTAATTGAACATATGATTTTAAAATTGTTAAAAAATTAAAAAAAAAAAAAAAAAAAAAAAAAAAAAAAAAAAAAAAAAAAAAAAAAAAAAAAAAAGGGGAGGGGGGGGGGGGGGGGGGGGGGGGGGGGGGGGGGGGGGGGGGGGGGGGGGGGGGGGGGGGGGGGGGGGGGGGGGGGGGGGGGGGGAGGAAGGGGGGGGGAACCAGGGGGGGGGGGGGGGAGGAAAAAAAAAAAAAAAAGAGAGGGGAGGAAAAGGAGGGGGGGGGGGGGGGGGGGGGGGGGGGGGGGGGGGGGGGGCCCCCCGCGGGGGGGGGGGGGGGGGGGGGGGGGGGGGGGGGGGGGGGGGGGGGGGGGGGGGGGGGGGGGGGGGGGGGGGGGGGGGGGGGGGGGGGGGGGGGGGGGGGGGGGGGGGGGGGGGGGGGGGGGGGGGGGGGGGGGGGGGGGGGGGGGGGGGGGGGGGGGGGGGGGGGGGGGGGGGGGGGGGGGGGGGGGGGGGGGGGGGGGGGGGGGGGGGGGGGGGGGGGGGGGGGGGGGGGGGGGGGGGGGGGGGGGGGGGGGGGGGGGGGGGGGGGGGGGGGGGGGGGGGGGGGGGGGGGGGGGGGGGGGGGGGGGGGGGGGGGGGGGGGGGGGGGGGGGGGGGGGGGGGGGGGGGGGGGGGGGGGGGGGGGGGGGGGGGGGGGGGGGGGGGGGGGGGGGGGGGGGGGGGGGGGGGGGGGGGGGGGGGGGGGGGGGGGGGGGGGGGGGGGGGGGGGGGGGGGGGGGGGGGGGGGGGGGGGGGGGGGGGGGGGGGGGGGGGGGGGGGGGGGGGGGGGGGGGGGGGGGGGGGGGGGGGGGGGGGGGGGGGGGGGGGGGGGGGGGGGGGGGGGGGGGGGGGGGGGGGGGGGGGGGGGGGGGGGGGGGGGGGGGGGGGGGGGGGGGGGGGGGGGGGGGGGGGGGGGGGGGGGGGGGGGGGGGGGGGGGGGGGGGAGAGGGAAAGGGGGGGGGGGGGGGGGGGGGGGGGGGGGGGGGGGGGGGGGGGGGGGGGGGGGGGGGGGGGGGGGGGGGAGAGGGGGGGGAGAGAAAAAAAAAAAGGAGGGGAAAGGGGGGGGGGAGGGGGGGGGGGGGGGGGCGGGGGGGGGAAAGGGAAAAAGAGGGGGGGGGAGGAAAAGCGGGGGGGGGGGGGGGGGGGGGGGGGGGGGGGGGGGGGGGGGGGGGGGGGGGGGGGGGGGGGGGGGGGGGGGGGGGGGGGGGGGGGGGGGGGGGGGGGGGGGGGGGGGGGGGGGGGGGGGAGGGGGGGGGGGGGGGGGGGGGGAGGGGGAGGGGGGGGGGGGGAAGGGGGGGGGGGGGGGGGGGGGGGGGGGGGGGGGGGGGGGGGGGGGGGGGGGGGGGGGGGGGGGGTTGTTTTGTGTTTGTGGTTTTTTGGGGGGGGGAAGAAGTGGGGATATTTTGAGAAAAAAAAGGGGGGGGGGGGGGGGGGGGGGGAAGAAAAAAAAGGGGGGGGAAAAAAAAAAAAAGAAAGAAAAGGGGGGGGGGGGGGGGGGGGGGGGGGGGGGGGGGGGGGGGGGGAAAAAAAAAAAAAAAAAAAAAAAAAAAAAAAAAAAAAAAAAAAAAAAAAAAAGAGGGGGGGGGGGGGGGGGGGGGGGGGGGGGGGGGGGGGGGGGGGGGGGGGGGGGGGGGGGGGGGGGGGGGGGGGGGGGGGGGGGGGGGGGGGGGGGGGGGGGGGGGGGGGGGGGGGGTTTTTGTGGGGGGGGGGGGGGGGGGGGGGGGGCCCCCCCCCCTTTTTTTTTTTTGTGGGGGGGGGGGGGTTTTTTTTTTTTGGGGGGGAAAAAAAAAAAAAAAACCCACCCCCCCCCCCCCCCCCCCCCCCCCCCCCCCCCCCCCCCTACCCCCGGCCCAAGGGGGGGCGGGGGGGGGGGGGGGGGGGGGGTTGGTTTGTGTGGGGGGGGGGGGGGGGCCCGGGGGGGGGGGGGGGGGGGGGGGGGGGGGGGGGGGGTTTGTGTTTTTTTGTTTTGGGGGGGGGGGGGGGGGGGGGGGAAAAAACCAACAAAAACCCAAACAACAACCTTTAAAACCTTTTTGGGGAAAATTTGGGGGGGGGGGGGGGGGGGGGGGGGGGGGGGGGGGGGGGGGGGGGGGGCGGCGGGGGGGGGAAAAGATTTGGGGGGGGGTTTGGGGGGGAGGTGAAAGAAAAAAAAGGGGGGGGGGGGGGAATTGGGCTTTTTTAAAAAAAAAACTTTTTTTTTTTTTTTTTTTTTGTTATCAAAAATAAAAATAATTTTTTTTTGTTCGCCCGCCCGTGGGGCCCCCCCCCGGGCCCAAAGCGGGGCCCCCCCTTGACTCACGCGTGTTAAAAAAATATGTAATTAAATTATATATTTTTATGGAATTTACTATTAAATTTGTTATGGCCTTCCATTTAGCTGGTATTTTTTACTTAAAAACGTTCCCAAATCTTACACATAATGAATTATTGTCAAATGAAAAAACACATTTTTATTTTATTTTATTTTTTAATTTTGAACCTACAGATGTCAAATACAATAAATATCAGTATCACTAAAGATACATTTGTGAAGACACTAAATTCTTAGAATTGCTTTTCACTATTAATACAGATAGACAAAATAATTTAAATTATCATTTAAAGATGTGAGAATCATGAACCAATAAAAAAATAAGGACTGTAACTTTTTAAATTGTGATAAAAAAACTATCAGGACAAGTGTTTATAATACGAAAGGTTGATCATATTTTTTCATGTTATATTGTATTTTTACAAATCGCCTATCATTAAAATGAGAATTATTATAATACTACAGATAGATAATAACATGAATTATCCCCAAATTTCTTAAATTACTAAATCATATTAAATTACTTTCAATGGCCATCTATAAAAAAAGATATCTCGAAACAAATATAGAAATCTGAGGACAAATTTAGAAGTTATCAGCATCTTATTACATTTTAGTCAGCGCTACCAAACATGTCGAGTCGCATTCGGTCATAAAAACTAAACCTTTTAATAAAATCAATTCAAAAATAAAACTGTAATATTTAATATCACTGTAAAGATCCAACTGCTCCTTAGATAATAAAAAAAAATCCCTGAAAACATACAAAAATATAGTACTGATTGTATTATTCATTACATCATTATATACATTAACCAACCAGGACGGCCAAAGGTACGACAATCCCGACTAATACGGCCGCAAAGGACGCAATTTTGTATCTGTGCTTTCTCGCGTTCACGTTCATATAAGCCTCCAGTCGTTTAATACCTCTAACATCGTAGTTTATTCTTTGATACTGCTTCAACTGGTTCACAAAGCCTGGATTCGGATTGATGAACCTCCTCCTCTGTCGTACGAAGTTAAATGCTTGCTCATACCGCAATCCATACTTTTGCATGATATACGCAATCACTAAGGTGGCGGACCTGGAGACTCCGAAGTGGCAGTGCACGAGAACGTTGCCTTTTTGGATCCCCTCCTCAATAAAAGCATTGGCCATTGGGAAGTACGGTAGGAGATTGGTTTGAGGAGTGTCATTGGCCCTAATGTAGAGTGTGCTGATGTCGGAATCGACAAAAGCTGACTTCGGTAGGCGTCGCGCCTCAACTGTGAGCACATGGGTGATTTTAAGATGTCGAAGCACATCTCGGTCTGCTGCGGCTCTGGCATTGCTGAGGTAGAGTCCGGGGATGATCTGACTGTAGCAGGATTGGGTGCAAAGGTCTATCTTGTTGTACAAGGCACGACGGGACCAGTTCTTGAGGGTCCCGAAGGCGATTATCGGATTCTGTATTGAAAGGAAGTTGACGATTGCATCTCCAAACATTACAGTCAGAGGATCTCTGACATTGGTATTAAATAGTTTCACATTTTAATTTTTAAGCGTTTTTAAAATATTGTTTACCGTGTGATTTTGACGTTGACATCATGATTGATAGAAAGATTGACGGTTTGAAGATTGATGAAGTTTCTTTTGTTCTTATTTCCTCTATGAAGATTATACATTTTAGTAAAATTCTAGGACATATATTTCTTAACATACAAAAGTAGATCTGTTAGATTGTTACAAATGTTTAAATCAGAACGTGACCAAATAAACAGTAATTTAAAACCCCCTAAAGCATACAGTAAATAAATCAATCGAAGTGTTAATAAAATCTTAATTTCGCAAAATAAATGCTGAAACGGTGAGTTTTGACCCAAATATCGAATTTAGGTCGACCGCTTATAACTACGGTGACATTGACTGAACTCCAGTCAGTGGCTCAGACACTCGAAGCCATGGGAATTGAGTTTATGTAGAAATAGACAGTAGGTTTATAAAAAGTTTACGATTTATATATAAAGCGGCATAAAAAAGGAGACATAATTTATATATTAATATTTTTTGAGCACCGATCTAATTCAATCATTATCTATTATATTTTAAATGGTTATTAGATATAGTACTTTAAATAGTATGCCTAACGCAAGAACTCATCAGTACCAATCTAGTGGATATTATGAAAAAGATACAGGTTGTAGATTTTTTCGAAATTTTAATAAGAATAAATTATCTGCAGGGGTTGAGCTTAGAGACCTCCCGTAGAACAAATTTTTTGCAGCTGATGACCTCATCTATCCCTTTTTCGCGTTTGACCCACGACTTTTTGACCACCCTGTATAGTAACGTGTAATAATATAGTATTACATTATTCACGAAGTATTCATAATCTCTTGGTCCTAGTGCTGAAAGGTTTCAATCTTGTATCTTTGCTTCAGTAATAAATAAGACTATAAAGAAATTAATAATTATTTCATTCTTCAAACATTATACTACTCGTTTTTCTATATTACAGTACCATAGACTTGTTAATTAGATCTATGATGGCCTTTTTAAACAGGTTGGCTATACTTTTAATTAACATATTAATAAACAAAGAGGTGTTAGTGTTTTGTAAAGCTCACGGCAGAGCTACAAGTTCTGGTTTCGGATACATGTAAAATATTCTCTTCTTAACTTACATTTAATTTATTTGGATTTCAAACCCTTTTTTTAATACAACTGCTATTCCAATTTTTAAGTATTTTTATACAAGGAGAAAAAATGGATGATCTAGAAATGTGGTATTGGAGGCGGATGTTTTGGATACCCTGGACATCTAAGGAAACAAACGTGTCCATACTAAGACAATTCTAGATAAAAAATCGTCTTTCGAGACTTTGTTACGAACGTATCCTGAGTTTTTTTGGTCATGTAACACGCAGATATCCAGAAAGTTTAGAAACACTTATCGTGACTCCCCTATTCTCTGGACTCATTAAGTAAAGGCCCTGACAGGTCTTTACATGGTGCATTGGCCGGGCGCACAGGCTTCCCGAAGACAAGGTAGGAGGAAATTGTGCAGCACCACAAACACCACCATCAGAAATGAAGAGTGTGACTGAAGAAGAGTAGTAAGTAAAAACGAATAAGCTCCAAAGAAACAGCAAGAATGTTTTTCTCTAACGCTCACTATTAATTGGCAAAGTATTTTTGTTCGTCTAATTTTAGATTAGAGGTTAACTTCGCAGGTGCGAGCTTCACAGCACTCAAAACACGAGAATTATCTACCTAAATTTATGTTTATTGGTCGATCTGTTGCGCAGGTAACTAAGATGTTAACATTTTTTATTTAATTTAATAAATATACCGTTCTGAATTCTAGAGCAGAGACAGCGCTGGTATTCTATAACTTCTAATAGTGAAGGAGATCCCGAAGGTTTTGTATGCATTTTCATTAGACGTTCTTTCAATAGTAGCGCTAATGTTTTAACTTGAGGATAACAATCGAATGTCATTCAACATTGTTAATATGAGCTAAAGAGAGGTTAAGAACAGGTAGTTGAGGACAGAAACGCTGGGCCTTATGCGTTATCCACGCCTTAGTCCAGTTGGTAAGGAGGTCACTTCAGAGGTCGTCTTTTTGAACCTTGTGCTTATTTCTAAATGCGCCAATACAACACACATATAGACTACAATAAAGAAAAACTCTGTGAGGTGGAAACTTACGTTTTAGACCAAATAACGCTACAGAATTGATCGGCAAATGTGCGTCAAATATTGCCTCCGATTAAGCTAAATAAAAACTTTTTATTTATCTATATAGTTATTGAACGACGGACGTCAAGGTGATACGGATGGTATCTGTATGATTCAATATTGTATAAACATAATTATTTCTGGAATAGTATCAAATATGATAATACTACAGTACCAATAAAGTGGTTGCCGGCAGTGCTTAATAAATATAAATTTAATTATAATTAATATCATTTACTATACCTAAGGTATCCAGCTGGAAGTCGACCAAGTTCATTACCGCTAAAATATTACATAACTAATGGGTTCATATATTACAATATTTGTGTTTATTCTTATACAAAGTGACTTCTCTAGTTAATCGATTAAAAATAAATTTAATCTTCGAAATGTCGAAATCTGCAAAAACTTTTTATAATCCGTTTTTGTGTGTTCGTTATTACAATATAAGAATTTCTTTATTTCAGATTATATCTATATGTAGTTTAGTTAGAGTCAGTAACTATTCGGTCTTAGTTGCTATGCTTCTATTGGCTATTAACAAAACAAAAATATTCCTAAAGTGGGGCATGGGCTGCATTCTAAAGTTTTAATATATTATGCGTTCTTTGTTCACTCATTCAGGATACCATTGCTGGTAATGGTAACATTACCATATTATTTTAAGGTTTATAATAAATAAATCGACCGGTTCAATGCAGGATGTCAAGAAGTTTGCGGTGAAGACTGTCGGGCTCCCATTCCTCTCAATCTCAGATGGAACGGACCCATCTTAAGTTAACTTGTGACAGTAGACGAGTGTTTGAGTGTTTATTTATTTATTTATTCAGGAAACTAAACAGATACATCTCTTTACAGAAAAAATAAAATAAATGTAAAACATAAAATAAATAGACACATTGGACATATCCGCAAAAATAGTTTCACTAATAAAAATACAATACAAAGTAAAACAAGACAAAACATGACAGCACAAAATTTAACACTAATCTAGCAGCCATAAAAAAAACAAGGAAGATGCAAGGCTTAAGACATAAAGAGTTTTAACTTATTCTTAAATGAAGCAGTAGTACATGTTTGCAATATAATATCTCCTACGCCAGCCTCAATAAATAAGAGAGAAAGTTATAATAATTATCATTACCGCATCTGTCCGTAACGTTTAATTAACAAAGTACCTGATTGTTTATCATCTGTATAAATTATCTTGAAATAGCATAAAAGTGTAAGCAATTTGATTGATTTAATATACACTGGTAGTATTAAGATTTGGTTTTTTGTTTGAAATAGAACTATAAAATAAATTAAAAGACGCAATTCTACTAGATAGGCACAATAGGCCTGATGTTCTGATGATATTCTGAAAGCTGATAATAAAAAAATGTTCGAAAAACTGAGGTCAAGGTCTATGAAGGAAGATTACTGCAAATCTAACGTATTTAAATCTCTTCCGTGTGTTTTCTTTAGAGTCAAACAAATAAACAAAACTTAGCACTTAAATAATGTAAAACATATATAAGTATGTTACTCATATATATTTATATCAGCATAGACAGAACATCACCTGTCTGTCAGTTTGAACTGAGCAAATTAAAATAGACAAATTTTTGAAGACAACGCAAACGTAAAAGCTTGATTGTGTAATATTGAATAAATTCTCGGTAAATTTAAAATGTTGGTGTATGAATATGCGCGAACTCTCTGGAGACCAGCACATACTTTCGTCTGATTGAGTCTTCGCTGATCCTTTATTTAATATATTTTGTGGTTATCAACGAATTTTTTTATATGTTACACACAGCAAAACATTTTATCTCCTTATTTAAGCATTAAGCTTTAACAGTGGCACGAAAGAGGGACTAAGGCATATTCAGGCATTTATGACTGACTTGACTTAATGAACTATAGCCCCTAGATGGAGCAGAGGGCGTCCACAGTGAGTCTCCATCGCGTTCGGTCTTGAACCTCGTATTTCACCTCGCTGTCTTCCGACTCTATTTGCAACTGTACAACGCCAGGTTTGCTCGGAAGGGCCACGCTTCCACTTTCCTTGCGGATTCCAATTTGATATACTCTCTTCTGAGTGTATGGCCTATCCATTTCCACCTGCGCTTAATCTGCTGGCTAATCGGGGTTCCTCGGCAGCGCTCCCAAAGTTGCTTTTTAGAGATCTTCTCGGGCCAGAATAGATACACAGACTACGGCGAAGACAGCAGTTGATCAGAAGATTATTTAAACAAAAATAATAATTAATTAACGGTTATTGGCAATTGAAGGACATAGGTAGAGATTAAAAAATCAAATTATAAGCGATTGAATTTAAAATAATAATAAAAGTGTGAAACTTGGCACAGTTGATATGAATGTAGAATTGCAATAAACTACAGACTAAAATAGTGACACTAAAAAGTGTTAAAAATAAATACTTGAGGTATAGTTAAATTTTATGAAGTGTCCGTATGCGAGTTCTCAATATATTATGTGCTCCTATTTAGTCATGCCATGATGATAGAGGCCAAAGGTTTGGGTTGTATTATGATCATGTCAAGTGTATGATGGTTGCAGCTACTAACAAGCACTTTTTGACACTCGCACTTCCAGAAGGCTCGCAAGCGCGCTGCCGGCCGTTAAAAAATTGGTATGCTCTTTTCTTAAAGGGCATTGCCTTAAGAATCGCTCAGTTGTGGAACAATGGACGTCAAGGTGATACGGATGGTATTTTGTATTCTGCCTTGACGTCCGATGATGAAATTCAGCTGCAGGTA